CAATGATCCAATCAATTAGCCATCCACCCAGGGCTGATCTTATTTTCTTTTAATTAGAAATAACATTAATATAGCCCTGGCTGGTGTAGCTCAGTGGATTGAGCGCGGGCCTGGGAACCAAGCAACCACGGTTCGATTCCCAGTCAGGGCACATGCCTGGGTTGCAGGCCAGTTCTCTCCCTCTCTCCTTCCTTTCCCCTCTAAAGATAAATAAATAAAATCTTAAAAAAAAGAGTTATTTGAAAATAATAACCTTAAAAAAATAATAAAATAAAAAAAAAGAAATAACATTAATATAGAAATTACCCTGATTGATACCTACTTTCTACCATAAATAGTAATTATTTGAGCTAGACAATCACCAATGGTTTACAAACAAATTATTCAGAAAGTTGCCTGATTCATTAACCTATAGATACATTTGGAAAAGTTATCTTCTAGTGTCCAACTGAATTTTCAAAGAATATCATACTTTACCAATATTATTTAATTGACAAGATGGACATTGAATAAAACTCACTGTTATTCAGAATAAACCAATTTTGGTGTGGCATATAACCTAGAGGTTTGGCTCCTAGAGTTGGCTTGAAATCAAACTTTTATTGTTTTCAGGAAAACCTTGTTTCTATTCATGAATGGCCTTTTCATCTTGAGTCTCATCAACTTTCATATGGGGAAGTGAAGTTTACCTTGAGCTTAGCTGGTTGTTGAAGTATATACCTTCATTCTATTTTAATACAATAGAGATTGACTTTCATGTACAGTATGTCAAAGAACATAAACTTCATTCATTTCAGTAATACCTATCAAAACTTGGCTGAAGTGGATAACTTCTATTAAATATTGGCTGGAAGAAATTTAAATGTTGATTTATTAATCTGCTTATAATAGTGATTTAAAAAATTAAGTTCTAGAACACTCTCTTCAAATAAGGCCTAGTGTAAATATGGACTGTGTATGTAACAGAGAAGGTGGAAGGGCCTTGTTTGGCAAGCAAGTGGTGAGTCCTGCTCCCAGCCCTAAAACCTTGGATTCCTCTAGATGGAGAGAGCAGTGTTTGACAAACTCCACTCTGAAATTGTTCATCTGGTTTGCTGTATTAATGCCTTCCACTAAATTATGTCTACCAGGGCCACACTGTTTCAACTCCCTACCACCTAGGATTTCCTGATTGCATTGCATGTATTGTAAGGCGTGGGCTGTTGAATGGCTTTATAAATGGTACAGAACCCTCCAAAAGTCATCATTGTATTTATTGAGATTATGATGTCAAGATATTTGTTATAATGTCCTACAATTCATCTTTACTCATGGGAAAACTTATTTTATGTCATAGCTACAAATAGTTGTCCTTGTGTGAAATCAGTTTGTTTTCATCTTTGGAAAACTAAGACATATATAAGGAGTTCCTTACATTCACTGGTTGCTATGAATAAGTTCAAGAAAAATTTTTAACTAAAGTCTAGCAAGTGTACACTTACTTCTGGCCACATTTTGTGTGCTAATCTTTGATTTTGTGAGTTCTGCTTGTATCTTTTAATTTGCATCTTTGTTTTTTGGATTTGTTATTTGACTGATTTTGCCTTTAACTAGTTTTATTTTTTAAACAAAAAATATAAATCTGCTTGTATTATTTATATTTTTTGAATGTTGCCTGAACTCACTTTTTGGGGCACAAGGCAATACAGAAGTTTATTAGAATAATTTTAAAATGTGGTATTTTACCTCATTTCATTTGAAGTCTTAAGTATGTATATTCCATATGGCAACTTCTGAAGCTTTTCACTTCTAAATATTTATCTTCAACAAATTAATTTATTACTAATCTGTTCTCTCACACACACTATAAATAAGGTACTGACAAGTTTTAAACTATTTGATGTGCTCATGAGCAATGAATTGTGAACTGTCCTTTTTTCCTCAAAAATAATTTAGGTAGAAACATTAGTCTTCTACTCTTCATTCAAATGCTTCCTATCCTCCCAGTTTGGTATAGAAATGTCAAACTCAAAATGCCTCCAAACATTAACAACCAGCCAGACAGGGTGGTAAAGAGCCACTAGTGCCCTTGCACTTCATTAGCAGAAAACTAAATGGCAGAGCTTTTTGAAAATGTTTTCAGCAGCTAAGCGGTTACACCAAGCAGAGCTATTAGGTGCATACAGATACAGATATGTAAATTAGGTTGAACTTTGTATGCCCTGGTCAACCTGTCCTAAATAAGGTTAACCAGGAATTTGTAACATTTTCCTATAGTGATTATTATATCTAAAATAAGAGCTATCTCCCGAGTGTGGTCTTTTGGAAGTAACAATGTCAACAGTGGTGGGAACAGAATATTAACTTTATTGTTTCCAGCTGTTTCAGGGTAATAGGGTAATTTCTGAGCTATCAATTGATTGAATTAACAAGTATTGCTCAGGTGTCCTTAAATAGTTAAATAATTTTATTAGGGAATACTCTTCTTACAGCATCCCCTTTGAAATAAATATTTCTCAATGTTAAAAAATTATCTGCTTAATAGTCAGAGAGCCTAGCAGATCCCCAGGGATAATTAGGCAGAATCACACTATGGAAACTGGGAGGCACACCAAGCAGATAATTTCTAATACATTTGAAGCTGCGGCTCTCTGCTTTCACCCTGCAATTATTTCTCACACAATGTGATCCATCCCAGGGCAGAATTTTTGCATATAAACATAACTTTCAGTGGGAACCACTAATGAAGGAGCAATGCTTAGTGCTATCCAGCACAAGGACATGCATAAATCATCATCTCAAAGTGCAAAAACAGAACGAACTGCTTTATTATTCAAGAGTTACAATCCTCAGTACATTAGTATCCCCAAACTAATGGCATCAAGTAGTCTTTTATTCTAGCTAAAACTTTCTAATCCACAGAAGCAATATGAATATATTTATTATTTCCAAATTTCCTTGAGATATTTTTTAATTAGCTGTACATTTTTAGGCAATATACTAATAGCATTTCTACTGAACAAAGCCAGCATTTTAATCAAACCAAATTTTTCCAAAAGCGATTTATACATCACATACATGTTTATAAATTAACTAATATTTTATATATAACAAATATATCGATTTCTAATTCACTTATAATTCAGGCATAGCTAATCTGTAGACATATTTCATAGAATTTAGATTCCATGTAGTATTTGTAAACCAACCAGATAATTATTTATAAAAAAGAAAATCCATATATTTTTTTACTCTTTATGTGGAAATAAGACTAAAACAGGAAATTAAGCACCCCATTGCTTTCTAGAATTTTTGACATTTGTTCACTGAGGGGTCAGGGAATCTCGGGTGTGCATGGTTGTGCATGAGCTGACGGTAGGGGGAGGTCAGACCTGACTTTTTATCTCCTTTAGGGCCAGAATTTTGTCTTAGTTCCCACATATGCACCTACCCTGCTAATGCAGCTTTTTATAAGTCTCTAGGTTTTCACAGATGCTATCTAGGTAAATGCTACTCAGGATCCCTCCTCCTTTAAGACTCTACTTTATGTCCTCTAACTTTTCCTAATTGCCCTCTAACTCATCTATTTAAAACAAAAGTGGATCTTACATTCATTCATGTTTTACTTAATGATTTTGGTGGTCTGAACTGGAGAAAATATTCTCTACATCTTGCTAACGTAATCCAAAAAATATCTTCAAGTGTGTTTCCTCAGCTTCAGTGACTTTTAATGTACTTTATTCTTTTTCCTCCATAGACACCTTGATCATGTAAAATGTAGGTGATACCCATTTGCCCTCACCAGTCTACATGTCCAGGGCTACTACAATTCTATTTCCAAAAGTAGAGTTTGAGCTAAATATCAAGAATTTTAAAAACTGTCTTTTTTTTTTTGCTGGACCCGGCTATTCTAATCAGAAGGGAAATAAAGCTTCAGACTATTTAATTACATCTTCGGTTTGAATTATGGACATCTAGCCCAGTTTTTGTTGGTAGATATCCAAACACCAGATCTTGTATTAGGAGCTTTGTGAAGGGAAATAAGGCAACAGAAAGCAGACTCAAAATGATGAGACTTTCTGTGAAGTTCCCCCTTTAAGAATAGGTCCACTTTGCAGTATAATTTGAAGTCAGGAAGGTTCTTTCCTTTTTTTTCAGGGTTGCTGTGGTTATTCAGGGTCTTTTGTGGTTCAAAAAGATCTGAGGATTTCTTGTACTATTTTTTTTAAATGCCATTGGGATTCTTATGGGGACTGCATTAAATCCGCATATTGCTTTGAATAATATGGCCACTTTAGCTATATTGATTCTCCAATCCATGGACACAAAATAGTTTTCCATTTCTTTGTGTTTTTAATCTTTCTTTACCCTTTATTTTTATTGTTTACACTATTACAGATTTATTGTTTACGACTTCCACTTTGCCACTCCCCCCCCCGTTTGTGTGTGTGCATCATGTACATATGTTCATTGGCCGATCCTCTAACCTTCTTTCATTCAATCACCCTCTCCAATGTCTTTGAATAATGCTTTGTATTTTTCAGTGTATAGGTCCTTTACATCTTTTGTTAAGTTTATTCCTAAGTATTTTATTCTTTTGGATGAAATTGCAAAAAAAATTGTTTTATTTTCATTTCTTTTTCTGAAATTGTATTGTTAGGAAGGCAATGATTTTTATTGAATCTATTGGAGTGACATTAGTTAATAAAACCATATCAGTTTCAAATGCACAACTCTGTAAAAACATCGTGTGCACACGGCATCAGATGCTCACCAACCAAAATCAAGTCTCTTCCAGCGTCCACCTGTCCCCTCTGCTCACTTTCACCTCTTCCCTTTCCCCTTTCCCTCTGGCGGTCACCATACTGTTGTTTGTGTCTCTGTGTTCGATCTATCTCTTAATCCTTTTACCTTTTTTTTACCCAGCCCCCCGCTCCCTCCCCTCCGACAGCTATCAGTGTGCTCCATGTGTCTATGCTTCTTTTTAAAATTTTGTTTGTTAAATTATTTTGTTGAATATAGTGCTCATTTCAGTAGCATGTATACCAAAATTGGAATAATACATAGAAGATTAGCATGTCCCCTGCACATTGTACATTGACTTTTGTACCCTGTGAATTTACTGTATCTGTTTATTGTTTTTAATTTTTTTAGGTGGAGTCTTTAGGGTTTTCAATATAAAGAATCTGTCATTTGTAAAAGGTGACAGTTTTACTTTTTCACTCTCAATTTGAATGCATTTTTTTCATTCTCTTAACTAATTATTCTTGCTAGGACTTCTATTACTATTCTGAGTAAGAGTGGTGAGAATGGGCATCCTTTTCTTGTTTCTGATCTTAGAGGAAAAGCTTTCAGTTTTCCACCATGAAGTATGATATTAATTGAGGATTTGTTATATATGGCATTTATTGTGTTGAGGTACTTTCCATTAAAACATCATGGTATTGGCAGAAAAACAAACACACAGACCAATGGAACAGGATTAAGAGTCCAGAAATAAAAGTACAAGTATATGGACAAATAATTTTTGTCAAAGGAATCAAAAACATGTAAGAGAGAAAAGAAAGCCTCTTCAATAAATGGTGCTGGGAAATTGGAAAGCCACGTGCAAAAGAATGAAACTACACCACTCTTTGCCCCATATATAAAAATTAACTCAAAATGGAACAAAAATCTAAATATAATACCTGAAATAATGAATTGCGTAGAAGAAAATATAGGTACTAAACTAATGGACCTTGGGCTCAGAGAGGATGTTATAAATTTGACCACAAAGCAAGAGAAGACAAACATAAATGAATGAGACTATATTAAACAAAAAAGCTTCTGCACAGCAAAGGAAGCTGCCAACAAAACAAAACAGCAAACAATCAAATTGGAGAAGATATTTGCAAACAACAGCTCTGACAAGGCTTTAATATACAAAATATATCAAGAACTCATACAACTCAACAACAATCAAACCATCCAATTAAAAAATGGGCAGAGGACCTGAACAGATACTTCTCCCAAGAAAACATAAACATGGCCATTGGATGTAACAAAATATTCTCAAATTCACTGGCTGTTAGGGAAATGCAAATCAAAACTATAATGAGATGCCACCTTACACTTGTTAGAAAGCCCGTTATTAACAAGGCAAATAATGGCAAGTCTTGGAGAGTTTGTGAAAAAAAAGGAAACCCTCATCCATTGTTGGTGGGAATGTAAACTGGTACAGCCACTATCTAAAGAGTATGAAGGCCCCTCAACAAATTGAAAATAGTATTCCCATGTGACTCAGCAACCCCTTTTGTGTTTATCTATCCAGATATTTTGAAAACATTTATTCACAAAGATACATGCACCCCTATGTCCATTGCAGCATTATTCACAGTTGCAGAGACATGGAAACAATCAAAGTGCCCTTTAATAGATAATAGGCTAAAAAGATGTGGTGCTTATATACAATGAAATACTACTCACTGAAAGGAAAAGATGAAATACTACAATTTTTGACAACATGGATGGATATTAAGAATATCATGCTAAGCTAAAAAGTCAGACAGAAAAAGTCAAGAACCATATGATTTCACTCATATGCCAGATATAAAACTGAAAGCAACAAATGAACAGAAGAGAAAAACAAAAACTCATGCACACAGACAACGGTATGGTGGTTACCAGGAGAAGTGGGGAGGTAGTAAGGAGTGAAGGGGGTCAGGTATAAGGTGATATCAGAGAGGGCTTTCAGGAATGTCTGAGATTCAAGGAGACGAGAGAGGATGGTTAAACTTTCACTTTAAGTGCTTAGGGATACTTGCTCTGGGAAAGCTTCACAATGAATCCCAGGAGGAATTCATTTCACAGAGGGAAGTTTCCAACTAGAAGGAAATCTCAGAAAGGAGAAAGAGGCAGGGAAGGAAATCAAAGCCTGCGCTATACTGAGTGCAGAATAAGCTGCTCCAGTCTCAATATATACATACACGCACACACACACACTAACTGTCCTAAATTTTTAAAAAATCTCATCATCAAAATAGCAAAGGGATACATTAAAACTCTTAGTCACTATTAGCGTATGACACATGTAATGTTTATTGATGATGGCTGCTAATTAAAGTGATTTTTAAAACAGTTATAACAGTATTGTTAAGTAGGATGTTGTCAGGCTGTCTCATGTTTATCTCTTGTATCTGGATGAAGGCTATAGATTTCCTCTTTTAAGCTATGAACTTAAGTTTATACTTTTTAATAGTACAAATATAAATATTATACTATTTTCTTAATTTAGATGCAAACAAATATATATGCAGTGTGCTGTTGAAACAATGATCTCATTTCACGTTTGTGGCAAAGAGTTTAAGTTTTTATTTTTCCCAAGGATTGAAAAGTAAGAACTGTAATTTATGATGCATAGATTTATTATATAAGCAAATTTTTAAATAAGAAAGTTAGTAGATATATGTTATTTAAAAAATCTGAGTAAAAAGGAATTTTATTCTTGTATATTGGAAACAAATGCTGGAAAATAAAATACTATAAAATGAACCATTTTAAACAGCAACAATTTAATATATATGTGTAAATATAACAAAATATGACTGAAACTTCTACATAGAAAAATTATAAAAAGTATTTAGAGAAATTTAAAAAAACATAAAAATGTAAGAGTGTAACATGTTTATCCATTAGACGATGTAATAGTACAAAGATACTAATTTAACATCATCCCATTCTAAATTGCACCTTTTATGTTTTAGTGAGTGACAAAATAATTTAGAAAGATACCTTGACATGAAAAAGATAAAAAATATGCAAGCAAATCTTTAAGAAGAACAAGCCATAAGTAGTTACTCTACCAGATATCAAGGTTTATTATAAAGCATAGTAATTAAAATACCCCAGTGTTGGCTCTAAAGAAACAAAAGGCTGGTGGAAGAGAATAGGAAGGCCATACACATACACATACCTACGTATACATGTGTGTACATGTATGTATATACACACATAATTATTATTATATTATTATAAATATGTCACTATAGAGCAGAAGGAAATGGAAAATCTTTTCAATAAATAGAACGGGGCAACTGACTTAAAATTGTAGAAAAAGAGGGCGAAACTAGCTCCTAACTCAAAATAAACATGAATAAATTCCTGGTGGACTATACATCTGAACATGAAAGAAAAACAATATTACCTACTATATTGAGATAATATTTACTATATTGAGATAATATTTAGCAATACATTAGGTTAAAAATATTCCTGAGGCAGAATTCAAAGAGCTTAAACTGTAAAATAAAAGATATTAATTGGACTTTATTGGTGCTGTGAACATTATGTTTCTCAAATGATACCATTGATATAATGAAAAGCCACAAAGTAGAATATCTGGCAAGAGATATAATCAACAAAGTTAGCCCATCTAGATAGAAAGATTCTAACATATCTATAAAGAACAGACAACCCAGTTTTTTAAAAAAAAACTTCTCTAGAGAAAATATTCAAAGGGCAAATAAACAGAAACGCTTATTTGGAGTTATCAATTATCAGTCAAATGCAATGTAAAACCTCAGTGAAGTATTGCTATATGTATATCAAAGTGTCTAAAAATGTAAAATGTTGGCAAGGATATATATGTTACAGTCTCTCATACATTACAGGAGGGAATTAGAACAGCCGCTTTCTAAACAATTGGGAATTATTAACTTAAGGTAAAAATATGCTTGTGCTATGACCCATAAAGTCCACTCCTATTGATATATCAAACAGAAATATGTGCCCGGGTGTACCAGAAGATAAGTAAATACAAGGATGTTTGTAGCAGCTGTATTCATGGAGACCAAAGATGAAAATGATCAAAATAGTTACCAATGGCAGAATGGATGCATGAGGTGTGATACATTTACACAAATGAATACTATAAAAAAATAAAAACATATCAACTAGAGCCTAAGGTTATGAAAATGTTCTAAAGTTAGATTGTGATGGTGGTTGTACATCTCTATAGATATACTGTAATTCATTGAGCTGTATACTAAAAACATGAATTTTATGGTATTGAAAATATATGTCAGTGAAACAATTGAAAAGTTCTTTATTCATCTTTCACTGTTTGGCTTGTTTCACTTAGCATAATGCTCTCCAGATCTAACCATGGTATTGTTCCTTCTTTCTCCCTGCTGCATAGAATTCCACCATGTAAATGTACCATAGTTTTTGGATCCATTCATTTACTGACAGGCATCTAGGTTGCTTCTAGCACGTGACTATTGTAAATTGTGCTGCTATGAACATTGGGGTGCATAGGTTCTTTTGGATTCGTGCTTCAGGGTCCTTAGAGTATAGTGCTCTATGGCAAATTTTAGTTATTAAAGTTTTAAAGCAGAAAGAATAAAAGTTCATTGTTCTGAAAAATACGAGTGACTTGGTACTAGATCTAGAAGTGACTCAAATTTAAATTTTATTAAAAGTAGATTTAATTTGAACTCTTTTGTGGTATAATCAACTTAAAAATAAATTTGTCAGCTACTATAGAGGAATTTTAAATTATATGTATTTTAAATTGTAATAATTTTAGTGCCTCTTTTTTATTTTCAAGTGTCCTGGCTTGGATGATAAATTATATGGTACTATAATTATTGATTTTTATTTCTACAATTTTCAGTAAAATTAACCTCCTAGAAATAGGCATTCCTTTATATTTTTTCTCTAAAAATCTGAAATAATATGTTACTTGATGTTGTATGACACATCACTATTTCAAAAATTGTTTTCAATTATCAGTTCATATTTTGTGAATAATATTGAAATGTCAATGAAAATTATTTTAGCCTGATATTTATAATAAGAAAAATGAAACTCAGACTTTAAAATACAAAATGGTAAGCCATGGTTGCACTTTGCTGCCTTAGCACAACACCACCAGAAAACTGAATATATCTAGATTCTTACATTTGTATTCATAAAGTATAAATATGAGTTACTTCTTTTTAAAAATTACATTATTGAATACATTTTCCATTATAATGACCTTGTCTAGTTTACAGGTTTTGTCCTTTTTTCTCTTGTTTCTCTGCCCTTTATTGTGTCAGAAAAAAAGTCTATCACGTGCCCCAAACTAACTTAAGAACTCTAGTTTGGTTTCC